AAGGCGCTGCGAAAGATCCCGCCAGGCCTGCAAATTTGAACATCCGGCAATGGCTCCGCAACTCTGCAAAAAACTCGGGCAGGTTGAGAGCGCCTCTGGAAGTGCGCTGGCTTCGGGTAGTTTCGTTGCACCTGGCATGCTCCGTGAAATCTGAAGCCGTCGCACGGGCGCAACCAGGATACTACGGCAGAAGCTTTCCAGGCCACGGCGCCAGTGTCGTCCCATAGGCAGAACGGATACCTCTCTTCAACACACTGGAGCCTGTCCCTCAAAACTCAAGGGTACTGTCCATGTCACAGATGCACCACAATCTGACTGCGCAGGTCAACAAGCCTGCATGAGTCTTCGGCGTGAACCTGTCCTGCCCCTGCAATTCCACGGTTTCCTCTCTCACACAGGGTGTCCCCGTCTCCTGCGAAGCCCGGAAATCATCCAAAGTCTTGCAGACCGATGCCTTTAGAACCCCTTATGCCGAGATGCGGGCGCGGCAAAGCCTCGCGCTGCACGCCCCGGTCATCCGGAAATTCCAAAGCCGCCTGGTTTGGGCAAGCTCTGGCGGCGCACATCCATGTGCAACTGCGAGCTTCGTGGAACGTGTTCTAGAGCCCGGACGGTTTGAAACCATTTTCCCTTCAGCTGCAGAGCTGGCACCACCTTTGTCACTACGCCGTAACTACACGGCTCTACATGCGACATGCGCCGGCCTTTTGACAGAGGCTTGAAGCCAGCAGCTGTGAAAAACAAACGACGCGGTGTTACTGACTGTGCGCATCTCTGCGGGCTTCTGTTGCAGGAGATCGACCCACTGTAGATATCCGACTTATGAGAAGAAACCGATCGGACGGACGAACGCCGGCACCTTGTGGGCTGCCAGCTCGGCAGGCTCCAGCTGGCGCAGGCATTGCAGAACCTCCACAGAAGCCCAAACAGGCACTGCCAGTCTGGGTGCCGAACTTTGCGGATTCCTGCACTGCATTGCACTGCTACCAAGGCGCTGAACCCTCTGCGCTACCAAGCGCTTTGGAGAGCCAAGGCGGCAAGGCCTTGGGCAACAACGAGCTTTAGACCACAACAACGGCTTCTCAGGGCGGGCATCGGAGCCTACAGAGGACCATCACAGAAGCTTGCCACTTGGAAGCAGCGTGCTCCCAAAATGCCAGCACTGACAGTATGACTCCGCCAGCGCCTATCCGACCCCTCCCATGGCACGTGGCCGACCGAGGCCACCGCCTCACTCTCTGCCAGCCCGGCCCTGACAGACAGTGAACCGGCAGAGACCAACCCAAAACAGAACGTCCTTGCCTTTGCGCCTTTGCACGCACAGGAAAAATGCCACAAATGAGATTGCACCCGGTGCTCACATCTTCGATTTCCACGAGATTCTGCCATGATGAAGGGCATTATGCACGATGGAACAGGTCCCTTCCGCTCGGCCATCCGTGCTCTTCCCCATGCAGGGTCTTTTGCACAGCTAGCTGGCTGTCCATGATGACACTGTAGTGCGGCTTGCCAGCATGTGCTTGAGCTTTCGGGGAGACGAGTAGGAGTAGAGTAAGACTTCTGCCGACATCTGCCGATTGCCATGGGCTTAGCGGATTACCCGTGGCATCCAACTGGTGCCCGCAATCAAACTTGTCGACCATGTATGCGAAAGGCTCGGAAGGCTCTGGCAATGCTGTGCATGCTGCATCGATGCTTCTGATGTATCTCACAAATCCATAACATCACATAACATGCTGTGATACATGCACTGTATTACAAATTACAAACACGAGTTTTCACAGATACATGTAATCCTGCAGTACACCGGACGTCTGTTCGCCCCAGATCATGATGTTGACACTACACATCATTTGTGACTTGTCGTCATGACACACTCGTCTCTGAGCATGTTTCTACCACTTGTAGACCGGCTGCCTCTTCAGGCCATCTTGTAGAATGACGATGTCCTTCAGTTGCAAGGTGCGGCAAGAATCCGACAGCCTTGACTTCGCAACTTGACTCAAGTTCGCAAATGGTCGCTGTAGGGCTAAGAGGGTCGAGGCAGGGGTTCTGCCAAGAGATCCGTCCTCCAGGTGATCCTGGAGGAGCAGAGCTCGTGCAAACTCCTCGCGGGAGCCAAAACTAGCTTTGCAGAATCGAACGGAATCGCGACTGTCGAATTGGGACGGAGGAGAAGCTGCACAAGTCCTCCGGGCTATGTATGAGCCGAGGCTGCTTCTGTGGATCTTCCAGCAACTCCTGAGCATAATGCAAACATGTGCATTAGGCCTCGACCAGGAGCCCCTTTCCCCTTTTCAGGCCGAGTGTCCACAGGCCAGCCGAGCTCTCGGACCATCTGCTGCTCCTCCTCCGAGAGCTTGGCCATGGCCACGGCGAAGGCCACCACGCCGCTGCGTTCCGCTACGCTTTGCTTCGATCTTGTTCTTCCTTTTTTTCTTCTTCTTCTTCGCGCCGGCACACACGGGTGTGGGTGCAATTTTAACGCTAGACCTTCCAGGTCAGATGCTGATCTACAGTACTTGCTTCGGCAAATGGGGATGTGTGTCCGACATTAGACAATGCAGGACATGAAAAACGAAACACTGGATACTGGGGCCCAAAAAATCGTGTGGCATCCATGACCCACGCATGCACATTGCAGAGCAGTGAGGCCTTCGGCTTTTCTTGCCCGCTGCTGTGGTCGAGAAGCGCTCTTGTGGGTTGTTGGATGCTGGTACATGGCTTCGCAAGAACTGCTTGGGGCTTTACCCGATGGCAGTTGAAACGTGAAGGTGCACTCGGCAGTTCGTTAACGGCCGCGAGGGCATCGTGTCGCCCTACTACGAGGCGACGGCAAGACCACCGGGCTGAAGACTTCTCAGAGACAATTTCTTTAGCTTTGAAAACGTGAGAAGGCTCCATCCAGCAGCTCCCGCTGCTTCATTAACAAGTTCTAATCCATTCCCAGATTTGTTTGCTTTCCCTCCCACTAAGCACTTCACTCTCATGCCAGACCAAGCAGCCAGCGCAACTCTCAGTCCCCAGCGGCCTTTCAGAAGGACAAGGGCCCGCTTTGCAATGGAGCTCTGATTGAATATTCTGGGAAGCGGGGCCTTCGGGGGATTATGCCATGCGCTTAAACAGCCTTCTCGGCCGTGCCGTCTGATGTCGATGTAGGAGCCATGGCCTGGCAAGTTTTTGTACTGGCTCGGCCTCAACAACATCTTCATTTGAGCTGTGTTTTTTATTATGTTTCAATCCCAAGGACGCAAAAACACCTTCCGCACCACCCTTCCGCCACTGCTTCCGCAGCCTTCCGCTCTTCTAAGCGTTGGCACGTTTCTCTAGCTGAGGATGCCGGCGATGCCTCTGAGTCCAGCTGTGTAGCCGCGAGGACGGCCGGCTCCCTATGCGGAGACTCCAGTTGCGTCGGCTCCAGTGGTGTCAGAGCACCCTCCGCTTCACTCAGGAACCAAGCTCACTGGATTCTTCCAGCTCATTGCCTTCACCAGGCCCGAAAGAATTCCTCAGGCAAAATGCCTATCCTCCGAGCCCGATACGTCCATCATGACACAAACGTCTGCATCTGAAAACAGCAAGGGAAGCGTCCTGTGGCAGCACCTAGTACATGGCTTAGGTCACTCAGGCCTGCCCTGGCTGTTCTTCAACGGCGGTGGCCACCTCCACAATAATTAAGCAGACGCTCGAGCATGTGATGCCACAAACTGAAAAACTGACAGTGGCAGTATCCTGTGCAAAGCCAGAGAGCCCCGGTGAAACGCTAACTAGCTGCTCTAGCCTAGCTTCGTTTCAATATCGGTTGCAAGCCTCGGATGGAAGCTGGTTGGAGCTGGCGTCACCCTCCTGATCGAACAAGGTCGCATCACCGATCACTGATGGCCAACCGACCCGCTTGCATCCGCTTGCGCAGGAAATCAGCCTTTGCAGGCGCTTGAGCTGCCACGGCAACCTCCTGGAGCTACACCAAGCACGCGTATCCCCTCATGTCAAAGGTTCTGAGAAAGCTGGGACACTCTTTGACCACAACTGCTCGAGACATCTTCTTCAACACAGACAAAGGGAAAGCTGAAAGCCCCCCCCTCGCGCGCGAACGCGCCCTGTCAGTCTCAGACCCCGGTAAGACTTCTACATCAGATGCGGGCCTCCGTCCAGCAACTCTTGAACCAGGCTACCTTCCTACCTAATAACCCCCAGGCCTCATCTGTGTAAGCCGAGTACCGGCTCTGGTTTGCGAGCTCGCAGTTTGTCGCAAGCTAACTACTGTCTGCTCTGTTCCCCCCGAAGCAAGCACAGTAACACATTCACCACTGTAGCAAACAGACTCGGGAACAGCAGCACTCTGAGGCCCAGGCCCTATGCAGCAACAAGTCTAACAGTAAGTCCCCCTAGCAACTGACAGTATGAACTCTCACACGCACACTCCCCTTCACAAGGTCTGGGCCCCTCTAGTCCTCCAAGGTAGCTGCAAGAAAACGTCTACGACGGTGCTCCCCTCTCTCAGCATCCAGGTGCCCCTCAGTACTGCTTGCCTCCGGTTCCAGCTCTGGCTCCCTATGTGCTTCGTCGCCCCTGGCCTCATTTAGCCTCTCTTCTTCTGCTTGTCTTTCAAAGTCCTCCAGGGCCTGTACCAGGTCGTCGTCTGTCGGCGAGAACGGTGGTTCTGGCCCAGTTCCTTTACAGTACCTGCTGCTCATGGGCGTAGAAACTGTAGGCCCATCAGACGCACGCACGGATGCGATCCAGGAGATCCTGTTTCTTCCCAGTGTTGGCTATTCCCTGCCCCTTCAGCCAGTCTCGCAGCGCCGGGACTGTCAGCCTTTCAAACTCACCAGACGTCACCAAAGCGCGCATCGCCTTCAAATCCACAGGGACCGCGGGCGCTTCCCGTCGAGGGAACTTCTTCGCGGCACCCTCGCCCTCGGCGGCCCCGCGCTTCCTCAACGGCGCTGCTGCATCGAGGGCCTCCTTCCAGGCCAGGAAGAGCGGCTTCTTGGTCTCTAGATGTGCAGCGTCTGGCTGCAGAACATCCACGGTCTCTTCAGGCTGCTCTTCTGAAAGAGCCAATGCCTGCACAGCTGCATAGTGCTTCTTTTATGAACCGGGTTCTCTGCGCAGCCCGGCACGAAGTCGGGCAGCTGCAAGGACCGGACCACCTCTTTGGCCCTCTCCTTGAGGTTCTCGGGCATCACGGCTGGGAAGCCGTCTGCCAAAGGGAAACTCAGCTGCCTTATCTCCTCGGCCCAGGGGAGGCGCACCATGTGGAAGCCCGGGGGCTGCCTCTGGTCGCCCTCCTCCTCGACCTCGGCCTGCGGTAGGAGGGCAACCAGAACTGGCTTGCTGTTGCGCCGCGCAACGTAGCTTGCCAAGGCCAGAACCTTTCGCTCCAGCATGACGCTGACCAGCGACGACAGCAGCGCGGCTGAGCCTGTGAAGCCTCGCTCGTTTGGGTAGACGAAGTAGGCATGGAACATGCGGTGATGATCCTGCAAGGAGCTGAGGGGCTTGAAACCGAGCACCCGAAGCGAGGGATCGCCGAAGTGCTTTGCCTCCTGCGTCTCCGCTCTAGTCACAAAGATCCGATGGCCCGCAACCTCCACATACGTGGCGATGTCATCCACCGGGTGCAGCAGTGCACCAGTCTGCTCACAAATCTGCTTTGATTCTGCCTTCAGCGGCTTGTTGCTCTCGTTCAGCAAGTAGACGGGCGGTGGCACTTTGGCTTCGAGCATGGTGACAAACACAGAGACAGATGCTTCAACACCTGGGCAAAGGTGAAAGGCCAACCTCTGCAGAGTCCGCTTGCGGTGCGTGCGCATCCTCACCACTCTTTCCACATCTTCCAGACGCACCGCGGCCCTTTGCAGGTAGTCTGTGGGGTCCACAGGAAGGAGCTCGCCCCAGAAGCGCTCAATGCTGAAGTCCTGACCGGGGAAGTGCAGGGGGAAGAACTCCACCACCACACCCATATCCATCAGATCCTGCACGCGGGTACGTGCTGCCGCCAGCTCTTCCCGTGCTGCAGAAGGCGCATCGTTGCACGTGAAGAGGAAAATGCGCGAGTCAAACTGCGACTGGTTCGCACCTAAATTGAAAATCGTCGTAGAAGTCCAGAAGACGTCTGAAACTGGCACCGCACGCCCGACACCGTAGCGCTCAGCAAGCTGCGCGGGCGTGCGGGTGGACTCCTGCTGCAGCTGCTTGATGCGCTGGGCACTGGGGCGGTCGAGGTCCAGCAGCAGTCGAATGCCATCAAAGTTGTTGGGGTTTTGCTTCTCCCGGACACCGTACAGAAGGACCCCGACTTTGTCTTCAGGGCTGGAAATGACTTTCGCTTTCAGGACCGAAGCCGCAGATGCCATGGCTTCGGCCAGCAGGCAACGGCCATCGGGCTTCAGCGGCTTGAGGCAGTCCTTGCTGGAGGCATCGATGACAAAGAGCACTGCATCCTTCAATTGCGGGGTATCCTGCGGATTCGGGCCGCCCGATTCATCTTCCGGCTCGTCCGGGTTCAAAGGATCGCCCGCCCTGCCATCGTAGTCCGTGGGGTCAAAGTCCGCCATGGCTCAGGACGGAGAGGGTTTGGAGCTTAGGGAAACTGGGAGTCCCAGGCTTCAGGGGTTCTTTGGCTCGAGCTATGGCTGGCCAGGCAGTTTCTGGCTCAGGCCTGGGCCTCGATATCGTAGTCTGGTCAGTTTGGGACACATGGCGCTCGCGTCTGATCCAGATCAATGATTTCGTTTCGCTGTTGTGCCCACGGCTTCACCACAGATCACCACAGCAGCGGGGATTCACGCACAACATTACCTGCAACCTTTATGCGGGGTTTGGCTGGTTTCAACACAACCTTTTGCTCGGACTGTTCGGGATTGTTCGGGGCTCACATCTACACCCTTGAACTGCTACATGATGCTACATGCTTGCGAAGGTTTGCCATCGGGCTTGCTGTTGAAGCGACACAGCCTGTGGCACTGGTGGCGCCGGCGTTGATGCAAGGTGCGCCTGCTTGCTGCCAACAGTTCGGTTGCTGTACAGCGAGAAGCCTTTTATCTGTCCCGGGCTCTCATGTCCGCAAAGCCTGGATCATCGCGGCTTTTTGCTTAGAGTAAGCAGCCAGCTGTCCAAATCGCTGATCCACCTGACAGCTGCTTCTTGGCATTGGCCATTCTGTACCCAGCATACCCGCATACCCTGCTCAAGTCAGGGCAGCAAATCAAACAAATAAACACAGCCACTGCCTCCCCACAACTCTGCACTACGTCCGCCAGCTGTAGGAGGTAGTCATGGATCACCTCACCATCCCAAAGCTCCCGCACGCAGCCATATCTACAGATTGAAGACCATAAATGGCCAAAAGCTATGGAGGCTATGAAGTCAGATGGTCGAACCGAGGCTTGGTCGGGCAGTGGTGGCTCGCTGGGATCCACCAGATAGTCCACCTCGGCACCCAGGATTTGACATGATTTGACCAGTAGCATTTTTACTTTTACATGATTATATCTTTGAGATTCATGCTACAATCTCAACAAAGCCCAGAATACCACATGATTCATATCGCGTGAGTCTCATGGCCGCACCCAACTCAAGGAGCCTGTGTATTGCTTAGGCTGCCTGCATTTTCCATAGGGGGAAGATGGAGCTGCACAGCCTGCCGCGCTTGCAGAAAATCATACTGGAAAAATCTGGTTCGTGTGCCAGGGACGCCCAACGAGCTGAAGCATCCTGCTAGATTCTTCTCACAATCTTGCCGGCTTGGCCATGTCGGTCACGACGGCCAGGGCACCAAACAAGGACCTCATGGAAAGGCAGTTACCGTGCAGTTCAACACATGGATCGTCATGGATCTATACTGCGGCCTGGCTGCTTCAAGCTGGAGGTTCTGTCATCGCACTGCCGGCAAGTGAGCCTCTGGAACAGGTGTCAGCTATACATATATATATATATAATTATATAATTATATATATATGCATATCCGCCGACCCCTGCTGGGGCGGCGCCAGTGAAATCCCG